GCCGGCCGCATGAACAGCCGATTCTTTTACTCAAGTACACGGAGACTACAACACGCGGGACTTATACACGGGCGCGCACACGACCTGGCCACCCCACAACTCATGCATGCATGCAGCTGGACGCAGCGCCCACGCAACGCCCGGCGCCGAGCTGCACGCGCACGTACGCGATCTCCTGGAGACTCGGCGTGAGCCGCCTGCTCTTCCGCTGCTTCCGCCCAGCCCCGACGCCCACTTCGCCACGCCCCCGCGCTCCTCAGCTCCCGCGCCCGCCGCGCACGCACGCCAACGGGACGCGACTGGCTCCAGCGCCCGGCGCGGCCACACCCCGCGCGTCCGTCTAACCAACTCACACACACCCACCCGTGCACTCCCGACGCGGACCCGATGCAGCTTGGACTGCACCCGACGCGTCCGGTGCGCGCATGCACACGCACCCGACGTGGTCATCGCCGTGACGGCCACGGCTTTATTCCTAACAGTTTCCGAACTTCCGGCCAATCTAAAAACTATGAGAAGAGAGCGAATCCCGCGTATGCCTTGCTTTGGTGATACTTAGCCGACCGAGGAGGCAAGCACACTGGATTAGATTCCGGAAATGGGTTAAAGAAGACACTAATATGCCCCCAGCAAAGCAAAAGCTCAGAAGCTCAAAGCGAAAGTGAAATAAAAGCCCGACCACGAGCGAGCTAACAACCACCACTCTTTAGCTTTTTCTCCATTGTTGAGGCAAAGAAAGAAGCTAAGCTCTCAGTATCCTTGCTTGCCATCGCACATTTGCACAGCGTCACTCAACTCCAGTGATATGGAGACGCGTCTCCACCTCCATGCGTTGGCGATCCTTCTGGTCGTCTCGGCGCGGCCTCCCTCCGTCGCCGGCGGGCTCTGCCGCGACAGCTGCGGCGACGTCCCGGTGCGCTACCCGCTGGGCATCGACGACGGGTGCGGCAGCCCGTACTACCGCAACATGCTGACCTGCGCCGACAACACCACGCTCCGCCTCCGCACCCCGTCCGGCACGTACCCGGTGTCCGGCGCCGACTACGCGGACCCGCACCTGGTGGTGACGGACCCGTCCATGTGGACGTGCGCGCGGCCCTTCACCTCCGTCCACGCCGCGCCCTTCAGCCTGGACACCAGCACCCGCTTCTCGCTGTCCCCGAGGAACGACCACCTCTTCTTCAACTGCGACGAGGAGCGCGTCATCGTGGCGCCGCGGCCGGCGATCTGCGACCGGTACCCGGACCGGTGCGACTCGGCGTGCGACAGCGCCGGGTACCTGTGCCGGAACCTGCCGGGCTGCCGCGGCGCGCTGGAGGAAGGGAACATGAGCTGCTGCGCGTACCGGCCCCGCGCGGCGGAGTCGCTCAGGGCCATGCTGCGGCACTGCGAGGCCTACACCACCGTGTACTGGCGCGCGGTGGGCGACAAGTTCCCGCCCTACGACCAGGTGCCGGACTACGGGGTCCGGGTGGACTTCGAGATCCCGGTCACCACGCGATGCCTACTGTGCCAGGACCGGCGCCGCGGCGCCAACGGCACCTGCGGCTTCGACCCCGCCACCAGGGACTTCGTCTGCATCTGCGACGGCGGCCGGAACTCCACCACGGACTGTGCAGGTGCGCTCTCTCTGCTCTGGCTCCGGCTCTCGTTTTTGTTCGATAACTGCATTTCGACACGTTCAATTCAACTAAAAAGCATATGATTTGATGAAACTTCAGAGGTTAACTACTGTAGTTCTCAACGCCAGGATCTGCATAAAACAGAAATTATGCATGTCAAACTAATCTGTTCAATTGATCGTGTTTTTTTTACACAGATGGCCGCGTGACAGGGCATGGAGCATCAGCCGGAGTGGTAGCTGGTGCGAACTGCGAACCACCACTCAAAACCTCACTCGCACTTTCCATTACTTGAAGTAACAATATCGTTAATTGTGGCCATTTCTGTTATGCAGCAACCGTCGTGTTCTCAATTTCGGCAGCTATCGGCATCGGGGGGCTCGTGATGTACATACGCAAGCTGAGATCGAGCAAAGTGGTCACCTGCGGCGTCCAGAGTAACGAAAATAGATTCTTCTGAGCCGACCTCAGAGAACTCCCATGAACAGTCTTCCGCGTGTGCAAAGAAGAAAGGAGGGTATGGACCCACGTCAGATGGAGAGGGTTCCGGTGTATACAACACGAAGCCTTGAGATATTTTTTCTTGTAGTTTTGGGCGATATGTATTATGCATATGATGGGCATGCAGACCGTACTACATTTCAAACATAACGAGGGCGGCATACTCAGGTGAACAAAAGATATGTGCGAGTGCATTGCCGCCGAATTTACATGTTGTGGTAGCTTGTAACCAGCAAGGCGTCTGTGGTGACTTTGTTAATTAATTTTTTAGCACGACAACTTCATTCTCTTGTCAGGAGTCATGCTTGTGAGTGAATTAGTCTTTGTTGCAACGTGTCAAAGGATAGAAAACATGGTTCTCAACCACCCATACACTCTAGAATCAGTGTCAAAAGTATGCAACGAATGTGATATGCAAGATTTCTAATTAAATGAAATGCTTCTCACTCATTGCACGACGTGGCACAAGGAGAATGTCAATAACACGATAAGGATGTGAAACTTTGGACATCCAAGTAACGAATGGGAGGGGATAACAAGTGCACTAGTAGGTTCATCATTACAACCAACCATTGTACAAAAGCTTAGGTGTTGGTTATCTATAGTGTTAAAGCTCAAGTTGTCCATGACAGTGGACAGAAATATTCAAGTAGATTATACACTCCGTAGAAATGTGTGATTTTACCCGTAGGGCATGGTTCCTTCGTGGGTTGAGACATGCTTACCCCTATGTTGTAAATATGTCATAGAGGCAATAATATTGTATTATTATATTTCAGTGGTTATAATTAAGAGTTTCTGTTTCATGCTATAACTGCTATGATCCTGAAATATGCGATTCAGTTGAAAATTCATGTGCACGTGTTGAATGATAAACGGTAAATAATAGGTTCCTAGTCCTGCCTCTAAGACTAGCTCAAGTGTTGTTGGTGATCATGTTTTCCGGATTGTAGGATATCGTTAAGTGTAACGATAGTCCTAAAACAACATTGGGAGTATGATGTTAGAAGAACGATCATATTGAATCGACTCAAACTTATTTGTTATGAATTGAGTTTATATCATCTGTAATCAATTGTAATAACACAGACTGTTAAGGTGCGATTTTGCTCCTTAGACCACGAGAGTATCGTAGTCACTTCTTACCGTACGGTGGACTTTGGGGTTGCTCAAATGTCACCTACAACACGGTTATCATAATGACAACTTACAGGCTTATTGGAAAGTTTGACAAGGGACCAGATAGCTTGAGCGTGGGATTTGTTCCTCTGACAATGGAGAGATATTCTTAGGACCCTCTCGGTGTGATGGAATCCTTCATCGTCTGGCCAGACATAGGTGACTACGTCATGGGGACGCCGGAACACGATAACGAGAAAGAAGAACAAAATTGGACACGAGGATAATGGTATAGTGAGCAGGTGATGACTCACGAGGATACCGATGCATCCCGGATTTTGTGAAATACCGCGAGGCAAAGGAAACATCACGTGATAACCAAAGATTCACTCAAATATCATTCATGTACTCATTCGATATGGACGTCCACGATTCCGCTATCGGTTTCAACGAAGGGTTTTCGTTCATGTCTATGAGTTACCGAACCTATGGGGTCACAAGCTTAAGGCAATCATAATCTGCCGAGTGTTACTAGGACGGGAGTGATGAGAACATATTTGTGGAATTATTGTTGGGGAACGTAGCAGAAATTCAAAATTTTCTACGCATCACCAAGATCAATCTATGGAGATACTAGCAACGAGAGAGAGGGGAGTGCATCTCCATACCCTTGAAGATCGCTAAGCGGAAGCGTTACAAGAACGTGGTTGATGGAGTCGTACTCGCGGCGATTCAAATCGCGGAAGATCCGATCTAGCGCCGAACGAACGGCGCCTCCGCGTTCAACACACGTACAGCCCGGGGACGTCTTCTCCTTCTTGATCCAGCAAGGGGAGAGGAGAAGTTGAGGGAGAACTCCGACAACACGACGGCGTGGTGGTGGTGGAGCTCGTGGTTCTCCAGCAGGGCTTCGCCAAGCACTACTACGGAGGAGGAGGAGGTGTTGGAGGAGGGAGAGGGCTGCGCCAAGGGAAGGTTGTTCGGCTGCCCTCTCTCTCCCTCACTATATATAGGGGTAAGGGGGTGGAGGAGGCGCCCTAGGGTTCCTTAGGGAGGGGCGGCGGCCACAGGGGAAACCCTAGATGGGTTTGGGCGCCCCACCCCATAGGAAACTTGCCCCCCAAGCCGGGAGGGGGGCTGCCCTAGGGGAGGCGCCCCCACCTCTCCTGGTTACGTGAGAGGGGCTGGGAGGGGCGCACCACCCCTTAGTGGGCTGGTTTGCCCCTTCCCCTTTGGCCCATGAGGCCCTCCAACACTTGCCGGGGCTCCCGAAACACCTTTCGGTCATGCTGGTCATAGCCTGGTACCCCCGAAATACTTCCGGACTCCAATACACTTCGTCCAATATATCGATCTTCACCGCCGGACCATTCCGGAACTCCTCGTGATGTCTGGGATCACATCCGGGACTCCGAACAACCTTCGGTAACCACATACTATTTCCCATAACAACTCTAGCGTCACCGAACCTTAAGTGTGTAGACCCTACGGGTTCAGGAATCATGCAGACATGACCGAGACAACTCTCTGGCCAATAACCAATAGCGGGATCTGGATACCCATGTTGGCTCCCACATGTTCCACGATGATCTCATCGGATGAACCACGATGTCAAGGATTCAAGCAATCCCGTATACAATTCCCTTTGTCTAGCGGTATAGTACTTGCCCGAGATTCGATCGTCGGTATCCCGATACCTTGTTCAATCTCGTTATGGGCAAGTCTCTTTACTCGTTCCGTAACACATCATCCCGTGATCAACCCCTTGGTCACATTGTGCACATTATGATGATGTCCTACCGAGTGGGCCCAGAGATACCTCTCCGTTACACGGAGTGACAAATCCCAGTCTCGATTCGTGCCAACCCAACAGACACTTTCGGAGATACCCGTAGTGCACCTTTATAGCCACCCAGTTACGTTGTGACGTTTGGTACACCCAAAGCATTCCTACGGTATCCGGGAGTTGCACAATCTCATGGTCTAAGGAAATGATACTTGACATTAGAAAAGCTTTAGCATACAAACTACACTATCTTTGTGCTAGGCTTAGGATTGGGTCTTGTCCATCACATCATTCTCCTAATGATGTGATCCCGTTATCAACGACATCCAATGTCCATGGTCAGGAAACCGTAACCATCTATTGATCAACGAGCTAGTCAACTAGAGGCTTACTAGGGACATGGTGTTGTCTATGTATCCACACATGTATCTGAGTTTCCTATCAATACAATTATAGCATGGATATTAAACGATTATCATGAACAAGGAAATATAATAATAACTAATTTATTATTGCCTCTAGGGCATATTTCCAACAGTCTCCCACTTGCACTAGAGTCAATAATCTAGTTCACATCACCATGTGATTAACACTCATAGGTCACATCACCATGTGACCAACATCCAAAGAGTTTACTAGTGTCACCAAACTAGTTCACATCATCATGTGAGTAAGACTCAATGAGTTCTGGGGTTTGATCATGTTTTGCTTGTGAGAGAGGTTTTAGTCAACGGGTCTGCAACATTCAGATCCGTATGTACTTCGCAAATCTCTAGGTCATATTGTAAATGCTGCTTCCACGCTCCACTTGGAGCTATTCCAAATGGTTGCTCCACTATACGTATCCGGTTTGCTACTCAGAGTCATTCGGATAGGTGTTAAAGCTTGCATCGACGTAACCCTTTACGCCGAACTCTTTATCACCTCCATAATCGAGAAACATGTCCTTATTACTGCAAGGACAATTTTGACCACTGCCCGGTGATCCACTCCTTGATCACCTTTGTATCCTCTTGCCAGACATGTGTCAAGGCACACATCAGGTGCGGTACTCAGCATGGCATACCGTATAGAGCCTATGACAAAAGCATAGGGGACGACCTTCGTCCTTCCTCTTTCTTCTGCCGTGGCCGAGCTTTAAGTCTTAACTTCATACCTTACAACTCAGGCAAGAACTCCTTCTTTGACTGATCCATCTTGAACACCTTCAAGATCATGTCAAGGTACGTGCTCATTTGAAAGTATCATTAAGCGTTTTTGATCTATCCTCATAGATCTTGATGCTCAATGTTCAAGTAGCTTAATCCAGGTTTTCTATTGAAAAACACTTTTCAAATAACCCTATATGCTTTCCATAAATTCTACATCATTTCTGATCCACAGTATGTCAACAACATATACTTATCAGAAATTCTATAGTGCTCCCACTCACTTCTTTGGAAATACAAGTTTCTCATAAACTTTGTATAAACCCAAAATCTTTGATCATTCCATCAAAGCGCATATTCTGACTCCGAGATGCTTGCTCTAGTCCATGGAAGGATCGCTGGAGCTAGCATACCTTTTAGCATCCTTAGGATCGACAAAACCTTTCTAATTGTATCACATACAACCTTTCCTTATGAAAACTGGTAAGGAAACTCGTTTTGACATCCATCTGCCAGATTTCATAAATGCAGCTAATGCTAACATGATTCCGATGGACTTAAGCATCGCTACGGATGAGAAAATCTCATCGTAGTCAACTCCTTGAACTTGTGAAAAACTCTTTGCCACAAGTCGAGCTTCATAGACGGTGACATTTCCGTCTACGTCCGTCTTCTTCTTAAAGATCCATTTATCTCAATGGCTTGCCGATCATCGGGCAAGTCCACCAAAGTCCATGCTTT